ACACTCACATGCATTGGTCTGCCCTGGAGGTTGCAGCCTTGGCTCTGCTGCGCTCCACTGAGTCTGCCAGGAGATCTTATGGACGCCTCAGTGGAGCGGACTCTTAAAAACACTGCTTACCCAAGGAGATTTATTTAAAGTTACAGAGCAGTACAAAGTGTCTAAAACCTCTGAGAGAAACTGTGTGTGTGTGTGTGTGTGTGATTCATTGTACATGCGAGACTGTGTTGAAATGCTACGAAAACAAAACAAAAAAATGAAGCGAGTGATGTTTGTGTTTTTTCTAAAAGGTGTGTAAACCTTGTCATTTTAATGCAGTATTTCTCCACAGCTCATTTGTCATAGTCCAAGCGTTTGTTCTCAAGCAACTGTAGTGTTTTTGTTTTTTTGTTTTTATTCATCTCCCACATTTTACCCCAGAGATAATCATCACATTGCGTTGGCAGATTTCTTCTCTAACAGACTTTGACATGTCGCCTGGTTTCAGTATGCGTTTTCCAACCTGTGTGCAGTAGGACACTACTGTGCACACATGAGTGTGATTTTTAGGGGGGAACAAACAGTATGAAGGTGCTAATGAAATTGCTCTGTTTGTTGTTTATAAAAATGAATTGCATTTTTGAAGAGCTACACATGCTTGAGGAACGAAATCTGTAAATAGAACCATAGCACCGCCTACAAAATTAAATAAAATAAAATTCAGTAAAGTTCAGTAAAAAAACGACTTGCGTTCCAGATCCAACAGGAAGCCCACCATGTTGATTTTGCTGAATTTTGCACCATTTTTGCCAATTTAATATGGGGTGCTCAAAGGAGCGAGAGCTGTTACTTCCAGTTTGAATTTTAATTGTTTTAATGACTTATCATTGTGTGTAACGTAATGTAGAAACTAAGCACTTTGAATCACCTTGCTGTTGAATTGTGCTATATAAATAAACTTGCCTTGCCTTACTTTGAGCCGCTCCATTATTTGCATAAGGGGTCGCCACAGCAGGTAGCAACAAATATTGTTATTTTATGTTATTTTTTTAATGTCAGGTCCTCTTCCTGACCCAACCCCAAAGGGATTTGGCGTACTGTCATGTTTCCAATTTCAGTCACTGAATGTTTGAGTTTAATGTAAGCTCTACAGTGAATAAATGAAATTCTAATTTGTGTTGTGGTGGTGGAACAAGATAAAGGAACCTTTTCCTCAAGATCACCATGTGGCAGTACGTTGGTTGTCCGTAGTTTCTACACAGAATCACATCCTATCATGTGGCTGAGTACTGCTAAAAAGGAGCCAGTTGAGGTGGTTCTGTGATCTGGTTAGGATGTCTCCTGGGCGCCTCCCTTTGGAGGTTTTAGCTTAGCCCCTGTCGCACAGGAGAAGTCAAAATACACAAAGCACCAATTTTCTGTGTGCTATTTTTAATGTTTTTATTTATCCTCCTCCCATCCTCCTCACCCTCACGGTGAACTTCACTGTTGTTCCCTTTCCTGTAGAAACCATGCTATCTGCATGTGTCTGCTCTGCTGTGCTGGGCAGCCAGTGCACAGTATAGAGTTTTTTTTTGTTTGTTTTGTTTTGTTTTGTTTTTTTTGGGGGGGGTTCACTTTTGCACACAAACCAAAGTCTCAGTCTGCTTTTTGTCCATTTAACATCCTGTTGGGTAAAATTGTTGATGAAATAAAGTAAATTCCCTTCGGTGGTATTATGCATTATTGTGCATGTTACTTAGTCTTATTTCTGTGGCATTGTGTTGTGAAAATAAAAACTTCACTGATTTATGGTGATTGCAGAAACCTTGACTTTGGATGGTCCCGTGTTCTTGGCTTAAATGCATCTGGCATCAGCTTGCCTAAAATTGTGCTGAGTAGATAATTGCTTTTCCCTGCAATGAGTTGACAGTTTGAAATATGATCAAAAACGCTTAATCTCTTAGGAAAATGATAAGTTAAAGCAACTAGCTGGCAGTCAAATGAAACAATAAAACCATTCTTTTACTTTGCGTGGTAATGCGCTCACACAATATTTACATAAGCTGTTTTAAGGACAAAATCAGCTGGCAGGAAAACCTGGAATACATTTATTATTGTTTTGTGGGTGCGTTTAACACGCTTATGCAACTTGATCATTCATTCGACTTTGTTATTATTTGCATCTGCTAAAATAAAAATCTTTTCCTCTGTTTTCTCCACAGTACATCAAGATCCCAGCTCCCACTTCAGAGTCTCCTTCTGCTCTCCGTGTCTTTTCCTTTTACTTGTCCAGCGACAGCAAAGACCAGCCACAGGCCAGCTTTGACTGCATCCATCAGTATGTGTCGAGGTATGAATCCGAAACTTGTTTTCACAAGTCGAGTACTATTATCGCCACTGAATCAAGATCCAACTTTGAGCACCATGGAAGACTAATCAAAAATCCCTTTTCCCCCGTTACATTAATCAGCAAAGAATTTTGGCAAATATTTTCAATAAAAAAAAAAGAACTCTTTGTTAAAGCTTCAAACTTGGCTATTCTTCTCTGGATAAGCGCAGCCAAAAGTTCTCGCTCAATATGCCTGACTGAATTTGCCAGAACACACACACAACCCCAGTGAACCACCTGCAGACTTAAAATATGCTGCTAACATTTATGTTGGTTATTATCACTTATTAAGACCAAATAGATGTACACACAAACTTCATACCCACATACCAGCCAATCACATGGCCACAGCTCAGTACATTTAGGCATGTAAACTGAAGTTCAAACAGACCACCAGAATGGGGAAGAAAGCTGATTTAAGCGCAACTATCTTTAGGATTTACAGAGACTGGTCAGAAATATTAAAATATGCAGAGATCGGCAATTCTCTGGATGAAAATGCTTGTTGATGCCAGAGGTCAGAGGAGAATGATTAGACTGCTTTGGGTTGATATGAAGGCAACAACTCAAATAATCACTTATTACAACAAAAGTATGCAAAAGAGCTTCTCTGTAAGGACAACTTATCCAACCTTTAACCCTCTTATCAGCTAAGAACAAGAAACTAAAAGAAAAATAAAGGATTGCAAAAATGTTTAAACCAAGATCCATCTTGCATTGCATCAACAATTTAGGCTGGTTGGGTGAAGGCCAGCCTCAGATTCAGTCTGGAAGATTTATAATACTGTTTTTTGCTGAATCCACATTTTCAGCCCCCTTCAGTCTGATAGCTGGTTGCCTGCATACATGGCTACTGGCATCCACGTATTGTCTGAAGGTTGCGGCCCAAAAATGTTCCAAATGTAGAAGAAAATGCAAACAAAGTACACCACTACCCACTTCCAGTGGGTCATAAATGGTTATGAAGAAGGATTGCGTATTGCTTGTGCATCATTTGTGGAGAATTTTGCAAAGTACACTTTTGAGCTTCCAGATGTGTAAGTGGTCTGATCCTCTTGTAGTGGCTCATAACCTCAGAAGACACCGTCTCCCTATGCTCGCAAATCAGAAGAGACTGTTTGCTTGCATCTTACCGTACAGACCATGGGGCACTTGTAATTTCCTGTAAATTTCTGGGCCGAACCTCTCATTACTGAGACCCGCGTTGCTTTATTTATGGAGTGGATATGCTTGGAAACTAAAGGTTATGCTCTGTTGCGGCTTCTTGGTGCCAGATGGCTAATTGTGGCCTGAACTTTAACTAGCTTTCATTTCAGCCAGTTACTGCAGCCAAGAGAAACGGCACATCAGCATGACAGCAATATCTTGCTCCCGTTGCCCCCTGCATTTGTTTTGATATTTGGAGGACAGAGTGAAAGAGTGGCCATTGGTCACTTATGTTATTGTATAGTGAAAATGTCTCAAATTAGCAGGAATTGCTACTTGTTTTAAATTTTGTTCTGTTTTTGTTTGTTTTTTTGGATTTTGGCAGCTCTGTAAATCTCTGATTTATTTGCTCCATTAATGGAGCTCAGGTTCTTATTTTAACTTTTTACTTTTGGCCAAGATGATTCTTGTTTTGCAAGCATGCCGACAGGAGCCAAGTTAATCCTGGCGGTTTTTCTACATGGTCTGTCCTGCTCTGAACCAAGATATATAGCCTTTCTCACATGTCACAGGCTGCAGAGCTAAATCTAGACAGTGACATAACATACAGCAACCACAGGTTTAGCCAGATTCCGCCACAAAGCCACTTTCTGCTGCAAAGGTTCTGCGCTGCCATCCTGCTTTGAGATAACTTAAAGGATGTTTTTAAAAAGCAGCAGAATGCCGTGAAGTTCAACAGCTGGCTGTTTTTTATTTTGTAGTGACGGCCGCGAACAGCTGGAAGGTCAGGGCAGCATCCAGGACAAGATCACTGTGTGTGCCACCGATGATTCCTACCAGATGACCCGCGAGAGGATGTCGCAGGTGGAGAAGGACAGTTGGAGCCGCTCTGCCATTGAGATCAAACCTGGAGCAACACATCCAAGTAAGATTAAGCAAAAGGCTTCTGTGGCAGGAAAACCGAAATCAAAGATGATACATCTGCAGATTTTCATGTGGAAGGGCCAAATAGCTTTTTAGTTGGAGAGGGATCAGCAATTTGGATGTGGATACAAAAGAGGCTGTATAAAAACCCAAATAGAAATATAATAGCACCAATAAAAGTAAAAGGAATACTTGCCTTGAAAAATATTCCTTTATTTATTGCTTGAAGCTAAAAACCAGATACTTTCCTGTTTTTGATGTGCGATGAAACCACATGCGTAGGCCGTATTTTTGGTTATACCAAGACAAAAGCTAAGCCTTTTCTCCGATATTTAATGTTTGTCATTGTTCAAAGTCAGAAACTGTCTTTAAACTTTAATTTCAGGGAGTTTCGATTCACTGCCAGGCCCTTACCATTAATACAACTGAAAAGTATAGTTAATGGAGCCATGTCTCTAAAACAAAGATTATTGCAGAATGAGAGCTGTATGGGACGTGCAGGTTTTACTAACTATGACCTGAAAGCTACCTTCTGTGTTTTTTCCCTGTTCGCTAAACTTTGCTGCGGTTATGCAAAACTTTTTCTTGGCTCTGTCCTGGACCCCCATGTCAGTGCTGAAGCTCCAGGGAAGCTGCAACTGTAGTTGGTTTAAACCAGATTACTGCATGGATTGTGTAACATCAGATCTTAAGGTGAACATGACAAAGCAGTATAAATTGTAACTCTCACAGAATTTATTAGAAAGAAAGCCAAACCCTATCAAGCACGTATCTGGCACACCATAAATCCCCATGACATTATAACATAATTCTCCTTATTTTCATCATGATAAATGACTAACAGAAGTACATATGCATGAAGTTATCTGTTGGACTTACTTTTTCTTTTCCTGTCACTGACCTGCAAAGCGCAGATTAACCCGTAATGGGATTAGCACAGAGAGACGTAGCTTTCACTGCTCTAACATGCCCCATCTGTCTTCACTGGAGATACAAGCGATAATCAATGGCATCTTTACATCTAAGGACAAGTAGCTGCAAGTCTGATCTATAAATAGCAGGTTTCAGATGATATCTCGAGTAAAGTGTTCATCACTTTTTTTAAAATCTGTTTATTTTATCTCAGATCTCACTGCCTTAAGATTCTTTTCTCCTTGTACCTTCCTGAGCCTTGTTCTGCTGGAGATTCCTTCCTGTAAAAAGGGAGCTCTTTCTTCCCACAGTCGCCAGCTTGCATAGGAGATTGTCTGATTGCTGGGGTTCTCTCTCTCTAACCTCAGGAATCCACCAGGCGTGGCTGTGTTACATTCTGACCCCAGTAAGACGGTGCTTGTAATTCCACAGGATGACCCACAAAGTATTTCAGAATTGTCCCAGAAGTGTAACCCTGCTTAAAATTGCATAGTTGTATTTTCTTGTCTTTTTCCCCTTGTTTCCTTTTTTTCTTTTCTTTTCTTTTCTTTTTTCTTTTAATAAAATATGAATTAAGCTACATAGAGCAGGTAAGGAGTAAAGACAGGAAATCAGACAAAGAATGATGATAGATAATCTGGCCAATTTTAAAACATAAAAGACCCCTGGCAGACTAAATTGTGATTCAAAGCCATGCAAAGAACAGAACAAAACTGCACTGCAATCCGATCTCAAAGGCATGCACCTGGTGTTTTCCTTGTGCTATATTGTATGTAGACTGAATTCAATTACTGCATCAACTGGAGAAAACTGTTGTTCTCAGAACTACATTTTTAGCTCCTAACACAGAAAAGGTTATCAGGTTATAGGTTTACCAGCATAAGAGGACCTTTTGAGAGATGTAGGTGTACTGTGATTGGTATAGTAGCAATACAAATAGTATTAACCTTGGTAAAACATGAGTCAAGTAACCAATAACTCTTAACTATAGCCAAAAAAATAAACATGCAACATGCAAACACCAACACTAAAATCCATTCTGTCTATAACTGGACGGCAAAATATAAAACAATGTCAAGTAAACACTTGTGAAGCTGATTAGCGCAATCCACAAGAAGGCAAAAAATATTGAGAAAACTCAAGAGGCTAAAACAGCAATACAAGAAAAACAAAGTTAATGTTGCATTCCTGGCCACTGGCTGGTTAATACAGTGATTCAGCTTTTCTATAAGCAATATGAATGCAAACAGATGGAAAGAAAGGAGAGTATGAAGTTCAACGAGGAGCTCTTCAGGTAGTTCTCAAAACTGCTTGATGCAAAACAGGCTTCTGTTTTGCCACCTGCAATAAAATGTGAAATATCCTGCTTTTTATAAGCCCGCTCCTTGAGGCATACAAAGTATTTATAATTAGATGTTGATTTGATTCATTAACATAATGTGTGTGTCTTTTGAGGTAATGTCATCTAAGTTAATCCATCCTAAATCACAGGCGGACTGATGCATCATCGTAGATCTTGCTCTTTTACTTTGTGTTCAGGTAAATGTGTCAAGTACCAGAAGAGGCCAGGCCCACTCCCTGCCTCAGATAGCAGCTTCTCCAAGTACTCTGTCAATAACCGGAGGAATGGCAGTATGGCGACCTCAATGCAGAAGCCCCTGAAGGATCGCATCGTCCACCTGCTGGCTCTCAAACCCTACAGAAAACCAGAGCTGCTGCTGTGGCTGGAAAGAGAAAGAGCAAGCCCCAAAGATAAGGCCGAGCTGGGTGCCATACTGGAGGAGGTACTTAGAAACACTGTTTGTAGACAAAATGTACAAAAGCTGAAGCAATTGCATCCATGCAGAGGCCACAGAGTGTAAAAAAAGATGGATTTAGCCACTGCAGTGTCATCATGTTGGTTTTCTGGATCCAAAAGGGGATTTCTGGGTAAGAAAGCTGCACCCATTAACTCTGTGGATGCACTGTTCAGACAAAGATATAATTTGTAGTACAATACTAGTATAATACAAGTTGACTCACCATAACTGAAGTATAAACGTGGATAATGCGTACCACACAGGAGGCCATACTGTTTGTTCATTAAAATGCTCTAAAAAGCTCCAACAGCAGGGTTTAGAGTTCCCTCTGACCACCACCAGGCGGCAACGGGTGAAGTGTCTTGCCCAAGGACACAACAACCGAGACTGTCCAAGCCGGGGCTCGAACCGGCAACCTTCCAATTACAAGGCGAAATCCCAGCTCTTGAGCCACGATCGCCCCGGACAGCTGGTGGTTTCAATAACCAGTAAACAATGATGCGGTGGTTACTTCCATCTTTTATATACAGTGTATGGTTTTTACTTAAAGCCATCATGACCTTGAAAATGCATAACTCCAACAGATTGTCCCAAAGGGGGAAAATGAGTGTAGAAACAAACATTTCTTTCCCTTAATTTCATTGTTCTTGACAATGACAATAAATAAATACTACTACTACTACTACTACTACTACTACTACTACTACTACTACTAATCATCATGTAAACATGTTTGCACCGGTTGCTGCTTGGCACACACGCATGCCTAGCGCAGCATCTCATGCATATGTTTTTCAAATGTAGACTTTGTACATTATACTCCCTGAACATCCTTAAACACCCCTAATTGTCATTATATAAAACTTTAAAAAACACGCTATGGTTTTGCACATTATACCAAGACAACAGTGATTTACATTTCCAGCCAAGCAAATGTGCTTGTGTTGGCTCTGTTTTTGCACATTATATATGGCCATTGCCTGACATTCAACTAATATCACATTGTGAAAATCAAGTATGTGTTTCCCTACTATATTTAACATTAAAAAAAACAACAACAATACATTTTGACACTGTCAGAGTGTCTGAAAGGTACTTAAAAGCTCTGAACAACACAGATCTGTGGTAATGTGTGTGCTGACAGAGACCAGCACCATTTGTGCTTTAATCAAAGCCGGGATCTAATTTTAAGAAGTTTCTTTTGCTTTCCTGTAAATATTTTTGAGTTATTCCTAAGTGATGTTTGTTTGTGTGTTTTGCAGGCCTTCTGCTAGTTGATGTCTGTACACGCATGTGGTTCTTGTTTCACTGCATAGGAGTAATTAGGTCGCTGCTGTAATTGAGTCTTCAGAGATTGTTTGCTATTGGGCAGACTCCTCTGTCTGGAGGCTTCAGAAAGATAGACGTCTTTAGAAAATGTGAGGGGAAAAAATCTGGGACGCTCGGATGGAAACGGAAACGCTGAGAAGGTGTTGTTGCTTTTCAGGAATGTGGATGTTTCGGGTTTAGCACATAATGGATTCAGGTGGTGGCAGCTTTTGTGTTTTTAAGTTTCTGAGTAGTCTTTTTATTTATTTTTCTACCATTTCATATTTTATTATCTCAATCGAAACAAGTTTGCAAGAAGCCCAACTTACTGACAAATTAGTAGGCGGAATATAAGACACGTTGATATCGATTGCTATTACATATGTGAGGACATGTTAAAAATAAAAAAAGAGGTTTGGTATATTTTAAGGATTAAAAAATACCACAAAGATAATTTTTAACCCTTTTTGATGTTTTTGTTGTAATCTGTGGACTGGATTTGTATGATTCCAGTCGGCATTCATTGCTAATAGCTTCTCAATCACAAGTCAATACCAGTTGACCACATCCTGGATTATACTCCTTTTTTTTTTTTTTT